GTGGTCGGGCTTGAACACCGCAATGACCCCACAAGCTATACTGGCTGGAACTTATGTTCCTGCAGGTCCTACCATGCCAGAAAGGTTGTTTGGATAGCGGTTAGACTAAAAGCGGTTACCCAATCCAATCCTATGACTTCAAATAAATCACAAAATATCATGCCGGATCGGTCGGGGCCCGGATTAACAACGACCGCGCTTTCTGCTGCCGTGTCACAGGGCAGAAGTGATAAATACGCTACTGAGACACACCAAATGAAAAACAAAAACAGGCCGTGTGTGGCCGGCCTCAAGCAGTTGTCCCCTGGGCTTTGCGGTCACGCAACCAACTTCCACAGTGTGGGCAGCCGGGAAGTAACAATCACCCTCACAATCCGAAGTGCACGCGAAACCTCTCTAATCCTCACTCACCTTTGTTTTCATCTTCATCTCTATTATCTTGCCTTCCTTCTACTGATGCAACTCCTCTACTTAATGGCTCTTCACTTCCTCTTCACTCTGTGTGCACTGGAAACGACGGAAGCCAAAAAACCACCTTCGATAGTCTCCTAAAGCCACGTCACCAATTTCATATAGGGGCATTTAATGTTAGGACACTTTGTCAAATAGGACAACAGGCATCACTAGCCAAGACTCTGGCATCCCGAGCCATTGATGTATGTTGTGTTTCAGAAACACGCATACAAGACCCAAGTGTGGTTATTCACCTAACCCCACCTGGCCAACAGGATGAATCTGCAAAATTCACCTTGAGGGTGTCAGGAGATGCGACGGCTAGCTCACGAGAATTAGCTGGTGTTGGGATAGCTTTGAGTACTAGGGCAGAAAAGACATTACTTGACTGGATCCCGGTAGATAGCCGAATGTGTGCTGTCCGTCTGAACGGATCAGTGAAAAGGAGAAAGGACTGCACTACTCGCCGATGCCTTTTCGTAATCTCCGCCTACGCCCCCACTGACTGCAGTTCGGATGAAACGAAGGATGAGTTCTACCAAAAGCTGTCTAGTTTGCTGCGAAAAGCTAAACGCTCAGATATAGTCGTTTTAGCTGGTGACTTTAATGCTCAAGTGGGGAAATCGGGTCAATCTGAGAAGAATGTCGGTGGCACATACGGAATTCCGTGCCAGTTCTGTTCAGATAATCACTTGTTTCTTGTAAGCACTAACTTCAAACACAAGGAGAGACACTGTTTGACCTGGCGACCTCCATCATCAAACCAACGCTGGACACAAATAGACCACATAGCAATAAGCTACCGTTGGCGTGGGTCGGTAGGGGATTGTCGCTCCTTCTGGAACACGTGTGTAGATACCGATCACGCACTGGTCCGCGCTCGTGTGTGCTTACGACTGGACGGACGTAGGAAACAGCTAGCGGTAAACCCATCACGTCCTTAGCTCGATCTGGAAACTAAGTCCCTATTTGAGGAAGAACTAGCTAAACACATATCTGAGTTCGACAGCTGTGCTCACCCTGAAGAAGCCTGGAAGAATATTCAATCAGCCATAGATACAGCTGTAAAAGCTGTGAATAAGGTAAATCCAAAGGTGAGTAAAAACTATTGGATTTCGACTGCCTCATCCGAACTGATAGATGCTAGAAGACTTATTCCGGCGAGCTCCGAATTCAATGAGGAGCGAAAGCTGCACAAAAGGAAACTCACGAAAAGTCTCCGCAAGGACCGTGAACAGTGGTGGTTGACAAAGGCGAAAGAGATGGAAAGAGCATCGGCGATAGGCAACACTAGGCAACTCTTTAGACCCATCAGGGAAACGGGTGGGAGAAGGCAAATCATAAGTGAGACTATTTCTGAGAAAAATGGCTCCTTAATTAGTTCTCGGGATAGACGCCTCGAACGCTGGAAAGAACACTTTGAGGAACAATTTAACTTGCCTGCAGCCACACTGAGCCTCCCCGCCATCCAGCACACACCCGAATGGGATATAGACACTGGCCCGCCGTCTGTAAGTGAGGTCACCAAAGCTATCTGTAATTTGAAACGAGGCAAAGCGGCAGGACCCGACGGAATTATTCCGGAGGTGTTTAAATATGGGGGTGACATACTAGTATATAGTTTAACTAAGGTACTAGGTAACGTCTGGGAATCAGAGACGGTTCCATCAGATTGGGGTAAGTCACTTATCATACCAGTATTCAAGAAGGGAGACAAGTCCTCATGTGATAATCATAGAGGAATCAGCCTAACGAACATAGTCTCTAAAATCCTAGGCTCAGTAATCATGAACAGACTAAGCCGAACTCGGGAGGAACAAACGAGGGAAAATCAAGCGGGCTTTAGGCCAGGTAGAGGGTGCATAGATCATATCTTCACTCTCCGACAGATCCTAGAACATAGACACACTTTTAGGCGTCCAACAATTGCCATATTTCTTGACTTGAAGGCGGCCTTCGACTCCGTGGATCGAGAGGTACTATGGCAATGTTTGACTATGAAGGGAGTGCCAAGAAAGTACATTGCACTAATCAAGGCACTCTACTCAAACTCACGTAGCTGTGTAAGGGCTTATGGGGAATTGTCATCTGAATTGATAACAACCAGTGGTGTCCGTCAAGGATGTCCACTTTCCCCTTTTCTGTTTAACTTCATCATAGATATGCTAATGGAAGTATCCTTAACTGAACTTAACGACTTAGGAATCGACTTGTTACCAGGGAATAGTCTTATAGACTTAGAATACGCAGACGACATAGTCCTGTTAGGGGAGGACGCTGACAAAATGCAGAGTCTTCTGAACACCTTGAGCAGCAATCTTCGTATGTTTGGCATGCGATTCGCCCCTGTGAAATGTAAGATGCTGCTACAGGACTGGACTACGTCAACTCCTAGCTTAGTGATAGGGAGTGAAGTGATAGAACATGTTGACCACTTCACCTATTTGGGAAGTTGTATCAGCACCAACGGATTGGTTGGTGACGAAATCACAGCACGGATCCAGAAAGCTCGGGCTGCTTTCGCTAACTTACACCGTCTCTGGCGTAGGCGTGACATCCGGCTGTCAACCAAGGGACGTGTGTACTGCTCAGCAGTTCGCTCCGTCCTTCTCTATGGCGGTGAGACGTGGCCATTGAGAGCGGAAGACATGAAGAGATTGTCTGTTTTTGACCACAGATGTTTACGATCTCTTTCTCGCGTTAGGTGGTATAATAAGGTAAGTAATGTTGACGTTAGGCGTAAAGTGTTGGGCAAAGAGGGAAAATCACTCGAAGAGGCTATAAAGTTACATAGATTGAGATGGTTAGGTCACGTGCTGTGCATGCCTAACCATCGTCTCCCCCGACTGACGGGCATTACTAGCTGATATAGGTGCAGGTTGGAAAAGAGTAAGTGGTGGTCAAACAAAAACATGGCCTCATCAATCCATGAAATCCCTGACAGTTAAACTGAGTCAGGTAGGGAGATGCAGACTTCCGGGTTGGGGCCCTCGGGACTCTAAGAATCAATGGCTGGAGACAGACAATAGGTGACATGGCTCAAAATCGTTGTCAATGGCTTACGCAGATGTATTCAGTCTCTGTAATCTTTCATATTCCTTTCTACCATTACTCATTGTGTTTCACTCTTATACTTATCTAAATTCTATTGATTCTCTTCTCTCATTTTCCTGTCTACGTTTGTGTGCTATTTGGAACGTGGCAACTCGAGTTGTTGCACTTCGGTGCCAAGTTCTATGTTGAATCCAGCAGCAGGGTGCGTACTGCCAAGGAGTCCAAAACTAAGGCTTAAAAGCTGTCCACTACTCCCAGGTTTTCCAATAGTTCTCTTATCGATGTCAGCTCATGATGAAATCCTGTAACCATCTTCCATTTTTGTTGATAAATCTGTGACGGTAACGGATTTTTTTCAACATCTTACGGAGAATCATAAAATCCTACTCTGATTTCTCTGCAGAGTATTTTCTCTTAGCTTCACAGTACAGATTCTTGACTGATGCTCGTTTGAAGCTACTTGGACAGAACTATTAAAATGTAGGTATTGTCCATTCCATGTCGGTTGTGGGTAAATAGACCTCTGGAGACAACCATCTTCCAGCCATTGTACGACATTGTGCATTCGAAAGTCGACAGATACCCTCCTTATCTTAACTCCAACTGTGTATGCAAATCTACATGTATCTGCGGGAGCAGCTAAATTGGGACAACAGAAAGAAGGGTGCACTTCCGATTCTTGGAACATGTACCAAAAAGCCTACATCTGAAGGGAACAAACGCTTACAATAGCGCCATTACTAGGCATCTCCTCGCCACACATCATAAGGTGAGGTCGCGATATCCTTTAAAATTATCAACAGCCAATGCAGCTCAATTCTCCCCAAGTTTGACGAAGCAATCTCTATCATACCCCTGAAAGCCGATTTATGAGTTCAGAAAGAAGCAGTTATCAGTCTTTTCTTGCCCATCTGCTAACTGGACGTCATTCATTAATATGTTTTTCATTTGATTGCGTAATCTTTGGCTTTGACCTCACCCCACCTCCTCCGATATAGTTGAATTGTCCCTGTCTGCTGTTTCAATGATTTCAGTTGAACTCAGTACAGCGTTCCCCAATTTATTAGTTACTCATCATCTTACGCATCTCTTGTCTTTATTACGTAACTCCTTTGCCATTGTATGCATACATTTACATTGTTTTAACTTGAACTCCCTGTGTACAGACTATATAATAGCGTTATTTTTCTGAGCATTGTTCACTAATTGTTCGGAACTTTCTATCAACTGACATCATGCGAGATTCGCAAATTCGTTAAAACTTTTCTGTAGATAAAAAATTGCTAACGCTCGCTCGATTTGACATCCTCATCCGTTCCTGCTGTAGTTGAGACAATGCTCGCTAGATAAGTGAATGAAGTAACCTCTTTCAAATCTAGGCGAGGTTTATCTTGTATTATATATAAGTATAGTTATATATGCGCTTATCTTAAATTTCCTCTTTACACGCACACACATATATATATTTATATTATTTTATTTAATGATTATAGATAATTTGTTTCAATGAATCAAAAGTTGAACCTGGCAGTATATTCTCGTCTTTCGCACAGTACGAGTAACATGAATAAATGATGAATATTATTGTGACAGTTGATGGCGAGGAGGACGATGAAACATACGAAAATTGATTCCAGTGTTGATTATTCAGATTTTTGTTTTGCTAATTATAATCACTTCTGATTGATATTTCTGTACTTTTTTTTCAACTTCTTTCATGACTACTAAGTACCATTATAACAACAACAACTACTACTACTGAGACGAGACTTTGATGTTTTGTTTGTCTGCTTATTTGCTTGCTTGCTGGAACAAATTAGAATCATGCTTGTATAATTTTTAAAAGAAAATCGCTTTTGCTGCTCTCTTTGCTTTTCTTCATTATTCATACACCGAAAAGAGACTCGTCGCTGAACTACTACTGGTCTGCTGTCTATTAATGTTCGAATGCGGGATTTTTCTTCATTTTGTAGTGTGTAAATTAGCGCCGAATTCTGATCGATCACTTCCTCCTCCGCCTCCTCTTCCTACCTTTTTCTGGGTTAAATTATTCTTTAGTTTTTTTTATTGTCTCACTCAGATTTTATTGAAATTAATTGAATAAAAATATGTTTGTTGATTGTTGTTGTCTTGTCTTTTTACACAGTAGTTGCAATAGTTGGATGGAGATAATAGATGAGTGAGGATTAGAGAGGTTTCACGCGCGCGCATTTCGGATTGTGAGGGCGATTGTTACTTCCCGGCTGCCCACACTGTGGAAGTTGGTTGCGTGACCGCAGAGCCCAGGGGACAACTGCTTGAGGCCGGCCACACACGGCCTGTTTTTGTTTGTTGTTTTTCATTTGGTGTGTCTCAGTAGCATATATATCACTTCTGCCCTGTGACAGCGCAGCAGGAAGCGCGGTCGTTGTTAATCCGGGCCCCGACCGATCCGGTATGATATTTTGTGATTTTGTTTGAGTCATAGCATTGGATTGGGTAGCTGCTTTTTGTCTAACCACTATCCAAACATCCTCTCTGGCATGGTAGGACCTCAAGTGACATAAGTCTCAGCCAGTATAGCTTGTGGGGTCATTGCGGTGTTCAAGCCGGACCAGCACGTCAAGGTAGCAGCTCTCGGTCGGGAGTTGGATGGATAGTCGCTGAAGATAATCGGCTACATGTTGATTTAAGTACACAGTTGTTATTCGCGTCCATTTTTATGTCTAAGATTTACCCAGTTGTTTTTTAGATGTCAGAATCAAGTTCGCATTTTTAGCAGTTTGAAAAAAGTAATAATTTGGACATTGGGTGTATGATATTCGCAATGAATGAAAAACGAAACGATACTGTTGTTGTTTTTACTGATGTTTCTCTGTTTTTAATGCTGCTAATAGCTTTATCAAAGTAGTATTATTAAATCATATTAGATATATCACACACACAGTGACAGTATTTTATTTCACTGGGTGACGAGGTTTCGAGATTTATAACCATATCAGTTATAATCACACGAATTCGAAACTTGAGTTTTATGGTTTTCTTTGTTCTCTCCTATTTGTCGCCGTAGTGGTAGTAGAATTTTCCAGATATCCGGCTGGACAGGTGTTGAATCATTCCTACTACACGTACTTGCAGTTCATTCGATAAACAAAGCTTCCGTTAACAACCTCTCCCTCCACCCAGCTGTTACATTAGATTTTAAAACTGTCATCTTATCCCATCCATCCTATTGTATGGTTGTGTGTAACTGCATGTAGTGAGTGGTGTAGCTGAACTATTCTCTAGATTTCTTATCTTATTCGGGTCAACCAATCCAGATTTCGCTGGGTTTTTATGCTCGGCTAATCTGGCTGACTGCCCCTGTTCTACTATTTTGACCTGACAATCATCGCAGGCAGGGTATTAGATAAACTAAATTGTTTTGTTTTAAAGGCTCCACAGGATTGTCCCTTTAACCGACAAAGTTTGGTTCTAATTGAGTTTGTGGTTGGTTTGAATGTCACTTTTATTTCTGCCTTATTAAGAATTCTGCCTAATGTTTCCGAGGTTCCTCCCTTGTATGAAATTACTCCTGATGATTTTGATTCCTTATTGTTGGTGTTATCATTATCCTGTGTATGTTTGACATGCATGTGAACATTATTATTATTGTCATCACAAATCACTACTAATATTATTCATTTTATTTTCACGTTTCTCTACATAATTTCTTATTAATTTATCACAATTAGAAACAAGCTTTGTCCGTCAAAGAATCCTGCAACTTAATCATCGTTCTTCAGCATGAGGTGGTTCTTCATATTGTCAAATTGATCAGTTGGTAAAGAAAGACACAACAAAACCAAGTGTAGATTGTTGGATTTGATAAGCGTATGAAATTATAAAAACAGCGTGTGTGTTTACATAATGAAATTGCTTATCACATTTGTGTTGATTTAGTCAATTCATGAGAAGAGTGATGGTAGGCCATCACTTCTGTTCAAACAATTTGGATTCCATTTGATACGATGAAGTGCTTCTGATATTCCTGTACTGAGTCATAAGAAAAAGACGTAAACAGCAACGAAAATTTTTGTTTTCGACGATTCATTTTCATAAGCTGCTGTAAAATCGTAATTATATTTAACAAAGAAATCATTAGACCAGTCAATCAGATACTGGTAAAATTTATCCTCAAAAAAACCTGTTCTGTAATGTAAGATGTAACCTAGAAGGTCTGACTAACTGGAAGTAAGAAAAGGGGGTAGAAGTTGGCCTGAACTAATGAGTGTGAGAAAATGACTAATCAATATGATTGTGTGCAGTGGATAGGAACTAGTGGAAAGACGATAAAGTGTTTCTGTATGAAAACGGAATGTTATTAATAAACAGTGATAAAATGAGTGATGATAAAATATGGATGATCGGAATAATAATGATAATAAAATAATAGTCGTAATAACAATACTAATGATAACAGTGAACTTACATAATAAAAAGAGAAAGAATCAGAATTATAGTAAGAACTTTACTCTAGCCACGGCAGGGAATGTATATCTCGCTTTTGAATGCAGAGGTTCAGTTTCAGATCCGAAATACCCAATGATTCAGCTATGTCCAGATGGTGTATTCGAAGTCCCCTTGCACAGCATTGAGAGACTCTGTAAAGCATTGATGCGGGGGTGCTGGATGTCCAGAGTTGACGAGCTGTTCGGGGATTCAGCTGCTACTATTCTTCTTTCCTCCTCTGGTTAACCAAGTTGGACAATGTTCCAGAATACGTTTGTGGACTTGACGTTGCGTACGGCCGATATACTCCGGTCCACACGACTAAGAAAAAGCCTGAAACTGTCTTGCTGTTTCCACAAAATCCTGAAAAATAGGTCTTGAACTTTTTGAATTTTCCTCTCACTCATATTCAAATTCGAGTCCTATCACTTGGTCCGAAATTCTGCAATGTATCGAGTAAAATCAACGAATTATAAACCAAAGTCCAATTCGAGAATATAATCTCACAAACATTTGATTTGTCATCTACTTCGGAAAAAAGATCTCGAACAATTCAAAGCTTCACTTTTTCGACAGCTGCTACAAGTACATTCGTATACTACCAAGCCATCGATGTCTGCTGACCAAGGAACACAGAAAACAACTTCAAGAAAATTAAGACATAATCCTCATCCATCCTGATGAGGGCAATGGGACTGTGGTAATGAATAGATCCGACCATAATGAGAAATTAAACAAATTCACTATCAGAAGACACCAAATTCTTCAAATCACCCAATCAGGAAGACACAAGGAAAAGAACAGAAAACCGACGCACACCCGATATCTATGGTCGGCCTGCAAAATTTGGGCTACCGATATCCATGCAGAAACTTTCATACTTGTACTGAAAATACGGTGTGGCATCAAGCTGTAATCAAAATAAATAATAAAAGTAAAATAATAAATAATAGGAAACCGTACTGGGATGGGGATAGTAGGTCATTTGAGAGCAAGCACTGAATGATTTGAGCCTCTGCTGCTTTTTCCATCATACGTGAAACTACAGACGTGACGTTGATCGGGTGGTAGTTGTTGATATCAGCTATAGGCCCGTATTTATGGATAGGTACAATACAAGACTTCTTCCAGCAGGTAGGGTATGTCCCATCGCCTAGTTAAATTGAGTATAGCTCGAGTAGGAGTAAACTCATGTAATCACCACTGTTTTTCAGCAGAATGGATGATATACCGTCTGGACCAATAGTGTTAAAAAGCCTAAGATTTGCGACAGCTTTATCGATCTTGTATGTGGTGAAAAGTATGTCAGTCACTTAGATATTCATCTGCTTTACTTGAGAAATCCATGACCTGATCGCTCTCCAAGGAGTATAATCTGGCAAAGTGCTTGATATGCAACTAATAGTGTTCTCTGAGCTGGTTGGTTTAGTTGCGAAGCTTTCGTCGTCCTTCTGAACAACATCCCCTTTCAGCGCCATATTTAGCACAAAGTGAAATGATTTAAATTTCTTCATGAGTGATATATTTGCGTCTCCTGGTAACTATCTTTACATATGTGTTGACCATTTTCTATTGACTTGGATTTTAAACTTTCTGGTCACCTGATGTCACAGCATTATATACTTCAATTAGTGCAAAACTAGCAACAGAAACTATGCAACAATTACTCTATAGTGATGAAAACACAAAAACGCAATTATCAACTTGGATAGAACTCATAAAATTATGCCTTACAACATACTTCCAGTTCAATGCTCAAATATATGAACAAATAAAAGGAACGAAAATGCGATCGCCCATATCAGGATTAATAGCTGAAGCCGTTATGCAAAGATAAGAATTAATAGATCTACCTATAAATAATTCCATTATGGGTAAATTTTATTTTGATAGAGTCTCACAGTGTTATACAGTAATATTTACTGATGACGTTTCGAGCACAATTTATTGCTCATAATCATATCAAGTTAATCACACGACTTCCTAAATTCATTTATATAGTTCCATTGTTTTTCACTTGATTTGATTGGTAGTATTATTTTCCATATTTCAGATATGAGTGATGATTCATTCCTATTGCATGTGTTGGGTG